GTACCATGAAATGGCACTTTTCCCAATTCAGAACCAAGTTAGTCTCGATGCACCGTTTCAGCACACGCGTCAAATTCACTAGGCAGTCCTCAAATGAGTTCCCCACCACTGAGAAGTCATCCATGAACACCACCATTATATCTTCTACCATGTCAGTAAATATGGCCATCATGCACCGTTGGAATGTGGCGGGTGCATTGCATAGACCAAAGGGCATCCTCCTGAAGGCATAAATTCCGTACGGGCATGTGAATGAGGTCTTTTCTCTATCCTCAGGGGCAATGGACATCTGATTGTACCCTGAGTACCCATCCAAGAAGCAAAAGTGTGACCTCCCTGCCAATCTATCCAGCATTTGATCAATGAAGGGAAGTGGGAAGTGGTCTTTTCTGGTGGCTAGATTCAACTTTCTATAATCCATGCAGATTCTCCAGCCTGTGACGGTTCTTGTTGATATAAGTTCATTGTTGTCATTCTTTACCACCGTCATGCCACCCTTTTTAGGCACACATTGAACTGGGCTAACCCAGCTACTGTCAGAAATTGGGAAAACGATTCCCGCATCCAACCATTTTATCACTTCCTTCTTCACCACTTCCTTCATATTCGGGTTTAGCCGTCTCTGATGTTCCCTGGAAGGTTTGTGCCCCTCTTCCAGCAGAATCTTGTGCATGCAGTAGGCGGGGCTGATCCCCTTGATGTCTGCCATGGTCCACCCAATGGCAGTTTTGCACTCCCTTAGTACCTGTAAAAGCTGTTGAACCTGCACATCTAACAAACCAGATGAGATAATAACAGGTAATGTGGAGTCAGGACCCAGAAATTCATACCTGAGGTGGGTTGGCAATGGCTTCAGTTCCAACTTAGGGGGTTCCTCGATGGATGGTTTAGCTGGAGGGGTCTCTCTCTTTTCTAAGTGCAAAGGCTCAAACTCCAGATTTCTCTCCCAGAACCCTTTACCTTCCAGTGCCAACACCCATTCCGCCAAATCCTCACCATTCACTTCGTCAAAACTTGCCAAGCATGCAGCAAGGGGATCCTCAACCGTCAACGCCTCATCATCAGCCTCTACAATTACATCCACTGCATCAATAAGGGAACAATTTGCGAACTCACTTGGTCGCCTCATCGATTTCTGCACATTGAATATAATTTCCTCATCATTGAGCCTCATCTTAAGCTCCCCGGTCTCGCAATCAATCAAAGCTCTCCCCGTGGCCAAGAAAGGTCGTCCTAGAATTATAGGAATTTCTTCATCCACTTTGCAATCCAAGATTACAAAATCTGCAGGGAACACGAATTTCCCCACCTGAATAAGCACATCATCAAGAATCCCAAATGGACGCTTAACAGTCCTGTCGGCCAGCTGCAATAACATAGAAGTCGGTCGAGCTCTCCCAATGCCTAACCTCTTATAAATGACCAGGGGCATGAGATTAATGCTGGCCCCTAATCACAGAGTGCCTTAGCAAAGGCATAGTTTCCAATGGTGCATGGAATTGTAAAACTATCTGGATCAGATAGCTTTTCAGCCACAGGTCTAGATACTACTGCACTACATGTCTGAGTAAGGGTCACAGTCGACAAGTCTTGAAAGTCAAACTTCCGAGACGTCAAGTCCTTCATCATTTTAGCATATCCTGGCATCTCCTTTAGAGCTTCAATCAATGGAATGTTTATCTGGATTTGTTTGAGCATCTCTAGGAACTTTTTATACTGCTCCTCCTTTTGATGCTTGGCCAACCTTTGCGGAAATGGTGCAGGAGGTCTTTTCTTCCCAATCACTTGAGATTTTTCTTTCTCAGCTACTGTCTCAATTACTGGCTCAGCTACTGTCTCAGTCTCTTGCTGCATATTCTTTTCTTCAGGAGCAGGGTGAACTGTTACCTCTATCAAATCCCGTAGAGTCATCCAGCTCTATGGGCACTGGAATTAGTGCCTCAGCCTGTATGTTTTCTCTAGCTCTCTCTTGCTTAATATCTAGATCCCTACCATTTCGTAGACTCACCGCCATCAGCTGCTTTGGGCCTTGATCTTTTGGATTGATTTGGGTATCTGCAGGTAATGTCCCTTGAGGACGATTGTTAAGTGACATTGAAATCTGGCCCACTTGTACCTCAATATTCTTGATAGCTGCATCATGTGCATCCACCCTTTCATTTATTTTAGCATTGGACCCAATAACCTGCTGCATCATTGCTTCAAGCCTTGCAAACCCGTCTTCCTGTCTTCCACCCTGCTGTTGCTGGGGTGGGTGGTACCCTTGCTGCTGATTGTTGTACCCTTGTGGTCTAGGATACGGTGCCATGTTGTTGGGGGGTCTCATGCCTCCCATGTTTCCGGCGTTATACTGTGGCTGCGGTGGCCTGTACTGCTGCTGAGTCTGCTGACCCCAGTTCTGATTACCTTGCCTCTGACCCCCATAGTTAGCCACATAGTTCATATCTTCAGGGNTTGAATAAAGTAATAAGGATTATTATAAATCAGATATATGCTTGGTTGCATCCGTTATTTATAGTAAGTGGTAGGAGGAGATAAAAATATCCACTGCAACAATAAGGTAATATTTGGTTCAAGTCTTAAATGGGGAGTATATTTTTATTTTTCTACTACAAAAAAAAAAGAAAATCTTGGGAAATGTATTTTCTTAACTATTCTAAAAATAATAGCTGACAATATATATATTACCTTATTACTTTCGACATCAGTCAATTTTTAGATTCTTAAATATATATTACTTTCGACATCAGTCAATTTTGTATTTTTACCCTAAAATCTTTCCGTTGTCCAATACAAAGTCCAACTAAGAGAAAGAACAGTTTTATGAGAATTTATATGTTATATGTTCAAATTTCTCTTTAGAATTCTTTCTACTAACGCGATCTTTTCTTTTATGACCATATAATATTCCATAGCGGTATTCATTGGATAGTTTCTACAATGTTAAAACTATTATACAGGAGATATTCAAACGGATTGTCCAATTTTCAAGACTAAACCCGAGCCCTTTAATATAGGTGAAATGATTCGTAGCACTCATGGAACTAAAACTGTCAGTTTATACAGTATATAACCAGTGATGGAGCCACAGAGCTCCAAGGGGGTGTCAATTTGACACATTTGACACGTCTCGTTCGGAAAATTATAGTGTTTTAGATTAGGAAGTTTTTTTTTTTTTTAAACATTTTTTTTATCTTTATATACTATTGATCACGCCCAACTATGCCTTCTAAAAAAGGACTCTGCGGACGTTGCAAATATAACCCGAGTATTACGCCCAGGGTCGAATCCACAGAGAGTTAACCTATCAACTGCTACCTTCAGACCCACTAAGTCTTCAGAACCAGCTTCTCAAATATTCAGATTCTCAGTTGAGTGTTCTTTAATAACTAGCTTGCAAGTAACTAAAAGGCTATAACTAAATTAAAAGGGTTGTAAACAATTATGAGAAAAAGCTAAGGCAATGATTTCCCCTATTGATGGAATCCCTTCTGTTTATGCTCATACAAATTTACCCAACCTCTCTATCAATCATGAACACTAATCTTACCGCAAATCTCTCCCGAGTAATCACAGTAATCTACTATTGCACTCTCCCGAGATACACTAGCTTGCTTTAATTAGCACAATTCAATTTAGATTGCACTCAAGGCTTCGTTATTCCTAATCCCGCCTTTAAACCCGCAATTATAGATTCCTCTTATAATCTAGGAGTGGTGTTGTTCAACAATACCTTAAATATGCACTCTTTTCCATGTTATGCACACTAAATAGGCACAGCTAATTGAGGATCCTGTCAATTAACTACAACGAACACGAAGTTGAACAAATAAAGATTAAACTAGCAATTTGTATTCACATAAACAAGAAGTTCATCACCCAATAGGTTCCATCAAAGCCTTAGACAAGGAATTTAGCTACTCATGACTATGGGAGAATAAACTAAGCTTGAATTCATCATAAAATCAAAAGAAAAGAAGAAAGATGTTTAGAGTACTTTCTCACAATTGTTTTCCTTGCTAAGAAACCTAAAAAATCAATACATGCCTCTCTTGGGCGAAGTCTAATGTTTTAAATAGGGTTTAGGTCTAAAAATCCAGTAATTGACACTTTGGTCCCTGAAGTTTACTGGGCCTGCCGCGGTTCTGCCGCGGTCGCGGTAGAACCGCGGCCAAACACCCTCCCGGAATCTCCAATCTTCAGCAGCTGCTTCCCACCGCGGTTCTGCCGCGGTCGCGGCGGAACCGCGGTGGGCCCAGTTCTCTGAATCTTCGGCCTGTTTTTTGCACGCGTCACTTGGGAAATTTCACAGTTGGCCTCTTTTTCATCACTTTTGACTCCAAATCTGCTCCTTAGCCTTCTTTATACATATATCACCTACAAATCATGAAAATCACTAATAAGAGCATTTTGTCATCACTTTTAGCATTAAAAACTACACAAGAAGGTGATTATTTAAAGCGTGATTATAGTCAAATTCACTTATTATCATGGCGTTACGAGAGAGGCTCTGTGGAATATTACTGTTTGATATCACTCTTCATTTCTTCTCAACAATAACGATTATATTCTTAATCTTGCTTGAGTTTTAATGAGAACTTCTATAAACAAAATAAGATTTCGTCCACCCAAAAGTCAAAGTTAGAATATTTGCTATCTTATTCTTTTTTCCCCCGACGTGTGGAAGAGGAAGGTAAAAGAGTGAAAACGATATGATTCTTTTTTTTTTTCCCGACGTGCCCTACTAGTTATATATTCTTTAATTTTGGAAAGAAAGAAATATTTGTTGATGGAAATAAATGAAATGATAGTTACGAATTTGTATCAAGATACAAAGAAATATTTCCTCGTAACAAACAAAACAAGAACCAATGGTGTGCGTCCATCAGCATTAGCCAGTAGTCATTGTCCCTCCATTTATTTTATGATGTCTCCGTACAAAGGGGAGGAGCAGAGTACAACGTGCATTCAAATTCGGTATTAAGATTGTGGGAAGTCTTCATAAGCACCAATTCTGCATTGATTGAATTGCTCGCTCATTCTGCAAATTTCATTGAACAAATTAACAAGAGAAAATGAGGGAGTGCATTTCCATTCACATTGGCCAGGCCGGTATTCAGGTCGGCAATGCTTGCTGGGAACTTTACTGCCTCGAACATGGCATTCAGGTATTTTCTTCCTTTTCTTTCACTTGGCGCAGAAGAAAATGTTTCTCATGAAAAATGTATAATTTAAGAAACTATTTTGAATCTTTTTCCAGTTTTTGTTTATGTACAAAAAATTGTTACAAATGGTACTCGTACAAGGCTTATGACATAGACTGAGGATAAATATTCATGATCTTTCAGACTTTAGAGTATTAAATGCTGCTGAAAATGTCTTTTATATGTTGGTTGAGGCAGACGATATGGAATAAGAGTTGGGATATTTGCCGAAGAAAATAATATTTATTCATAAATATTGGAAATCATTTTTTCCCCTAGAGAAAATATTTTCAATAGCAACATACTACTAAAAATTGCTTCAGTAGGAACACCAAACTTAAACTTGGAAGAAAAGGAGATAATTAGGGAAAGTGGATAGACATATTATTAGAATATCATATATAATTCTGCCTATAAAGATATAGGGAAAAGAGTTGAGAATTTACACTCTAATGCTAATGTGAGGAGTTAAGGATACAATACCGTTTTAGGACTTCATTAATTTTTTAAGCATATAAGCAATACTGTGATAATTGAAGCCATGGATCTGAAATTTCCAAATTTGACTTTAACAGAAAATAATTTCCGTGGAAAACTTTTTACATATATACCAAACAATGAGATCAAAAGGCTATCATGAGACGAATGATGCATTTAAAGCCAAAAACGGTACAATCAAATATAATTGTTCTGCTAATAAGTAATTTAGACACAATGAGTATCTTCATAGAATGTGCTACTGTTTTCCGTACCAAATTAATTCAGGTATACATGGTGGAATAGCTGTAAGCCTGAAATTAAACTATTTTGCAATCTCTTAAGCAAAGAGTGAATGATATTGTAAATTGGTGTTTCTCACCCCACCAAGCTATTTGTGTCTTTGATAGCCTGATGGGCAGATGCCAAGTGATAAGACTATCGGGGGAGGCGATGATGCCTTCAATACATTTTTCAGCGAAACCAGTTCAGGGAAGCACGTTCCTCGTGCCGTTTTTGTTGATCTTGAGCCCACTGTTATTGATGAAGTGAGAACTGGAGCATATCGTCAGTTATTTCACCCTGAACAATTGATCAGTGGCAAAGAAGATGCTGCCAACAACTTTGCCCGAGGCCACTATACAAGTGATCTTTCTACACCTAGCGTGCTCAATCGTATCTTCTTTTTAAGTTATGTAACTCTCGTGAATTAATTTTTATTTTTTTCCTTAATTAACCAGTTGGAAGGGAGATAGTTGATCTTTGCTTGGATCGTATCAGAAAGCTCGCAGACAACTGCACTGGTCTGCAGGGTTTTCTGGTCTTTAATGCCGTTGGAGGAGGCACTGGTTCTGGTTTGGGTTCACTTCTGTTAGAACGCTTGTCAGTGGACTATGGAAAAAAATCCAAGCTTGGCTTTACTGTGTATCCCTCTCCTCAGGTTTCAACCTCTGTGGTGGAGCCATACAATAGTGTTCTCTCAACCCACTCCCTCCTTGAGCACACAGATGTTTCTATCTTGCTTGATAATGAGGCAATTTATGACATTTGTCGTCGCTCCCTTGACATTGAACGCCCCACCTATACCAACTTGAACCGACTCGTCTCTCAGGTATTGGCCCTTTTTATTCTGTTTCTCTTATACAGGGTTCCACATCGGAAGGTATAAGGATAGACCACACCATGTTAAGAGTGTTTTTGGGCAGAATTATATTAGCCCAACATCTCGTTATTGAAGTGAGTTTTCTGACTTCTTATTTTTTTTTTATCAGGTGATCTCATCCCTGACTGCTTCTTTACGGTTTGATGGAGCGTTGAATGTTGATGTGAATGAATTTCAGACTAACCTGGTCCCATACCCAAGGATCCACTTCATGCTTTCATCTTATGCCCCGGTTATATCAGCTGAGAAGGCTCACCACGAACAACATTCCGTGGCAGAAATCACCACTACTGCTTTTGAACCAGCTTCTATGATGGCTAAGTGTGATCCACGTCGTGGCAAGTACATGGCTTGTTGCCTGATGTATCGAGGGGATGTGGTGCCCAAGGACGTGAATGCTGCTGTATCCATTATTAAAACCAAGCGTAGCATTCAGTTTGTTGATTGGTGTCCCACAGGCTTTAAGTGTGGTATCAATTACCAGACTCCAACTGTTGTTCCCGGAGGCGATTTGGCCAAGGTACAGAGAGCAGTGTGTATGATATCCAATTCCACTAGTGTTGCAGAGGTTTTCTCAAGAATCGACCACAAGTTCGATCTAATGTATGCTAAGAGAGCCTTTGTTCATTGGTATGTTGGTGAAGGCATGGAGGAAGGTGAATTTTCTGAAGCACGTGAGGATCTTGCTTCACTTGAGAAAGATTATGAGGAGGTGGGTGCTGAGTTTGGGCAGGGTGAAGAGGGTAGTGAAGGAGAAGAGTACTGATTGAGAGGAAAGAGTATGTGTGATTGATCATTAGCATTGTGAAATGATATCTTAACTTTGTACATGTACTTTATCACTGCTAAAACTTTTCCTGGTTTAATATATGGCATCTTTTGAATTAGTATGTCCGTGGATATTGAAAAGATTTTAAAAAAATGGTTAGGCGTACAATCTTGATCCAGTTATCAGTTTCTTTCCTCTGCCCCCTACTTCTACAGTTATGCTGTTTAATTTACTCGGCCAAGTCCGTTATCTATGGTAACCATGATGCCCTTGTTTTGGTTGTGATATGTTGGGTGTACGAATAAACTCCCACATTAGTTGGTAAAAAGATTGGGAGGCTATATATAAGGTGTGAAGATCTCTTAATGGTGTGACACCTTTTACCGTGCGGGTTCACTATAAGGTTAATAGCCTGTTTGGCCAAGCTTCTTTTTGGCCAAAAGTGTTTTTTTTGGACCAAAAGCACTTTTGGCCAAAAATTGAGGTGTTTGGCCAAGCTTTTGGAAGGAAAAAAAGTGCTTTTGAGGAGAAGCAGAAGCAGTTTTGTAGAAGCAGAAAAAAATAGCTTCTCTCCAAAAGCACTTTTTTAATAAGCACTTTTGAGAAAAATACACTTAGAAGCAGTTTTTTAAAGCTTGGCCAAACACTAATTGCTGCTCAGAAGTGCTTTTCAAACTAATTAGCCAAACACAAACTGCTTCTCACCAAAAGTACTTCTCGAAATAAGCTTATTTTTGCAGCTTGGCCAAACGGGCTATAAGAGTGACTTGCTTACGCTGCTGAATAATCTTAACTTTAGCGAGCCCATATAGCCCTGGAGTTAGGTTATGATAGTTGTAATGAGCTGTATTATAAAGAAAAATCTCCTCTATTCATAGATGAAGGCCTATCTAAGGGCCTTCGGTGAGAATTCTGACATCACCACATAAAACTTGGTTCTTTCGCGCCTTGCTGGCGGAGCGACATGCGACCAAGGTTTATTTTATGGGGCTTTTCTCCTTTGCTCTAGTGAGAAGAAAAAGTCTCTCTCTTATAGAGGCTTCTAAAAAGGCCATTTTCTTCGAGAGAGATTCGCATTCAGCATGTAAGTTTTGTCTCTCTTGCATCTCCAATCGGGCTTGGTGTTTTAAGTTTAAAAAGCCACGAAAATGATGCGCTTGAGTTGCTTTTATATCTTCATAAAAGGGGAAAACATGCGTCTCGACACATAGACTTTGTAAGACCTCCGGGAGAACAATTCTGTATTTTTTCAAAAACTTCTTAGTTTTTTCGACTGAGGGAACGTCTTAACTGATGAAAATTTTCAACCGCTTGTTATCAGTAACCCAGTTTGTCAAAATTTACTTGGATGTCGACAATTTGAAGTATTTCCAGTTATGTAAGTGTATTGTTTATTACTCATTTAACTCTTGAATGTAAATAAAGAAACTTATTTGTGTATGCAACAATGAAGAGTTCATGTTTTATAACTGAGGCTTGTGAGCTCTAAAGTTTTTTCTTCATAGTTCTTCTGCGCTTAAATTTATCTATTGAAGAATTTTTTCTTGGAGTTCCAGAATACAATAGTATTTTCTGCATGCCCGCTGATGGACAAAATAGTTTTCCTTGTCCGAGATGAATGAGGAGCATTCTGCATTGATATTTGACACTAGTTTAGAACTAGGAATAATTGATTAAGCCACCAGGTGTTGTCAATCTAAGTATTAGTATTGAATTGGATCAGGTGTTAATTCATACTTTGTGTATTTTGAACGGAATAAATAAATGTAGAGGTCTATTGCGAGGGAGCACAATGTTATGTAAGTTATAATATATGCATCCTATCGATTTAGTGTGTAACGACTCGGCCGGTCATTTTTGGAATTTACACCCCGATCCCCTATTAACTGCTTCCCCCAAGTTTATTTCTGCTATTTCGATTTGCCGGGATGTTCGGTTTTGAGTTTCGGATAGTTTTGGGACACTTAGGGTGTGTTTGGTATAACGGAAAATGTTTTCCAAGAAAATATTTTCTTGGAAAACAAGTAGTAATCTTATTCATTTTCCGGTATTTGGTACGCAAATTAAGGAAAATGACTTCTCAAGAGTATTCATAAATAATTTAGATATAATAAACATGAAGCCATAAACTTTCAAACCAACAACCTTCCGGATCCACAAATTTCATAAACTTTCGAACCGCTAAACTTTCGAAACCGCGAAATTTCGAACTCGTAAACTTTATAATTTCTAAACCCGTAAACTTCCAAACACATAAATCTCCGAACTCATAACTTTGATACTTGTAAAATTT